TTAGTATCCTCCACTTAACACCTCCTGTGCTCCGTCCTCTCCTTTGGAAAACCATCAAGAGTTTTGTTCATACGGCACGTTATTTCTGTGTGGGGTAGAAAATGAGAAGCACGTGAGGAGTGGCTGCTGCTTTCACCTACAAAATAATAAATAATTTTTTATATATATATATATATACACACATACATATAAAGGCAGTCAGTTTTTAAATCCTTTTTTTTTATTGCTATAAGTTGGTTTCAGTCCTATTGCAGCTCTGAAATCCTTCAGTGGAGAAACATTGCAATCATTGTAAAAATCATCATTTGGTGTGCTAAGATCAAGTTTACAATTAATCAAGAGTGCACAATTCAACAGAATATTAACATTTAACCATCAACTTTACAAATAAAATAAAGACTACAAAGATGTTGCTACTGCAGTATCAACAGTAAAGGAATTATTTACAATGTTTACACCCTAACAAAAAACCAAAACCAAACACTTCCCCAACAAAATGGTCAATTTAAACACGGACCATGATTATTTATTAAATCTTTGCAGTGCAAGGTGGGCCTAGAAACCAGACCTAAGACTAAAGAGCATCAAAAGAGTTCAGAGCTCCGAGTGAGATGCCAACGCAGTTATGCCAACAGGATCTACCGTCATAAGAGATTTCCTTCCAGGTACAAACAGAAACGGAATTGGAAATAAACTTTTCTAAAGTGCTCTGATTTCTTTCAGTACAAAAAAAATTATAAAAAACTGATTTATAAACATGGCACAAATGGTACGAACCAGAGCTCACATGAATGGTAGTTGATGATGATGGTAACGAGCTGCCAGTGGTTACAAAGATGTTGGGGTCTGGCCTTGAAAGAGAGAGCGGGGAAAAGGCTTTTCTTTTACTTATTCAGCAAGAAGGTCAGGCAAAGATAGCACACGTGTAACCTGCTGTCGAGATTTTTTTCTCTTGTAAATGTGAGAACTGCTGGGGAAGACAACAAAACGCTCCAAATTCCCTTGCACAGGGGGCACAACACACAGGGACTCCACTGAGCAGCACCGGGGAGCCGCAGCTCCTATTCTGCAGAGTTGAAAGTAGAAGTGAAACAAAATACGGATTTTTAACCCTTTTCCTAGTTTAAATTTCGACTTTCATTGTAAAAGCAAATGGCAAACACCAATTGCCATGTATGCAGGATCATCTGACTGTTACTCAGAAAGACAAAACTGTCTGCAAGTTATTTAGAATTGCTCCTACCTTTGCGGGAATGCTATGACCTTGGTGAGCAAAGCATCTCTAGAAATACCAATTCTTCTGCCTCACACTGGGAAGTGATTAGCGATCTCAATTTGTGGGACGTGCCACAATTACAATCCACAGACAGCACAGATCAAAACTAGGAAAGCATTTACAATACACACAGGGCAGACGTGCTCAGCACTAGTGAACACAGAGGGATCTTCAGGCTGACGTACAAAATGACCGTACTCCGAGTGGGGAAGGGGAAGAGGAAGCATCTTTTACACCAGAGTGAAAATCAGAAGCAGAGAAACAGTCTTTACATTGCAACATCACAATATTAAAGGACAAACAGGACAATAATTTTAAAGGCTGTGACACAAAGCAAAGGCGGTGGCAGTTCAAAGCTCGTGCTGTCATTTCCTCCACACCCCAGCTCAGAAAGAAGCCAAAAGGCACCTGGGAGGCACAGAATTTTGAACTGTCGAATCCTCAGATATCACTTAAAAGGAAACTTTTATCTGAGGTAATCAAAAAGTCAAACGGAAAGGATATTACTCAGAATCAATAGCAGGTTACTTAGCCCAGGACACAGCAGTATTTTGCAATCTAATTTACCTAAAAGAGTTATTTTTCTAGGAACGAGATTTGAGTAAAGAGTCCAAAACGAGTTCACTCAACTGGAGTGACAACAATTTCCCAGATTCAGTTTTGCAGAAGTGATGACCCATTATTGATTTGAAGAAAATCTTTCACTTACTTCCCTCAAATAATTTTACCATATTCTGGTATGGTAAACTCCACACTAGCAGTGAGATATCACAGCATTTGCTAATTCTAAAGCCTTCTCCACGTTGGATACAGCACTGGACAGGAAGCCACATCCACACCTAGTTATGGCACTTCAATGATTTTGACCCAAGTGAAAGAAGATGCAGTCTCTGTTCAGGCTGAAAACAGTTTTCATACAGCTACAGCTGCAGCTAGCCATGTGTATTGAGGACAGATAATGACTTTTAAGGTAATTTCTCAGTTACAGATTGAATTCTCTTATTCCAAGGAGCTTTTGTGGTGCTGAACCAACAGCCCAGCCTGTAATGGGTCCTGGGTCCATTTGCTAACAGCCAGAACTTACTTGAAACACTGCTGACAACAAGTATTACAACAGTTATGCTTAATTTAGAACACTAAAAATGAGACTTAACTGCAGACTTTATTTTCCAGATGCCACTGTTCTAGATCCAAGTTCATTCATTGCACAGAAGAATAATGAAGTAGCCAAATAAACCCCTTCAGTCCACAGAACACTCTCCCATACTTCAGGACAGGCACAAAATTAAACTAAATAAATGTTTCCAAAAATGGTTTTCAAATACCCAGAGACATCTCTCTTTGGTTGAGGTGGTTTATTCCACTGATGCAACAGTAGCTTTAGGCTAAAACTCCTAAAAACCTGTTAATTTAAGGCAACGGGGGGGGGGGGGGGGGGGGGGGGGGGACACAGAGTTTTCACTAGGAGTGGCCCAAACCACAGCACGAAGGAGAGAACATACTGTGCGTTCTTGCTGCTTCACTGCATGTTTACAGGAGAATTACACGGGCATCAGAGATGAACTGGGGTCTCCGCCTCAGCTGACTGAAAATCCATCGCTGCTGGATGTCACATGCTGGCTCGATCAGAAGGTGATTTTAAGACGAATTTGCCTCCATTCCAACCTATCTTTTAGGAATGCAAAAAAAAATGAAGGTAGGGTAGAACTATGTTCTAACCACCATCAACATCGTATCACGACAAGGCAAAAATCACCCTGTTCCCCAGGCTGTTTTCTGCCAGTCCAGCCACTGATAATCTGTATAAATTCCGCCACGCTGATGATTTGCCAAGCAGTCCTTTGGTATTAGAGTAAAGCGTGTCCAATTTCACAGCAATAACTTGTGGAGGGCTGGGGGAGTATCACCAGTCTGGTAACGAGCCGGATGGTTTGGAGTTTCCTCTCATTGAACTTGGTGCTGTTGCTTCAGGTTTATACCACTTAGTAAAGAAAAAGACCCTTAAATCCAAGAAGTGTTTCCAGCAAGGAGTGCTTGCTCCCTCAGACCAATTCAGTGTTTTATAGTTTTTCTTTCCCCTCTCACACTAAATCTGGATTTTTCAGTTTCTTATCTGAAGACAATAACCCAAATTATCACCACTTGAAAATAAACTATTTTCTGCTGAAAATTTATAATGTTTCTTGCACTGTAACTACCGAAATAACTTTAAAACTTGCAAGCAAAGTGAAGTTACAGCCTTAAAGATTATTAACATTACACAGGGCCTAACCACTGAGAGAGCATCCATGATTTGAGGAGCCTGATAAATCGCCACGCGACTGGATGGAGAAGTGCCCAGGCATTCCATCCACTGGTGATAAAAATCATCACTT